AATTGCCTCCACAAAGACAGACCTGTGCATCTGGTTGTTGCTGCTCCTATAAGACCAATTCTGCGATTAGACTGCAAATTGGGAAACCCGTCGGCGTCCTTTTGACCTGTTTATATGTTCTACCATTAAAGGTGAAAACTTTTCTTTGGCAGTGACCAAAGGGGCGCATATGATGGTCGATTTTTCAAGGACGACTCGATTCGTCGTACTTCTCTTCGAATCGTTTGCGTAGGATGCCGCGTGCCAAGTCTAGTGGGATAAGTGTGAATAATGAAACGACGCCAATAGATACCATGGTTAAGTCCGGTTGAATCTTACTTCTCCGGATGGTGACCAGAAAGTAGGAGGCCGAATTGATTGTGGTTCTCGAACCCTCTCGGAGAAAATTTATTTTACGCGACATCCATTTGGATAGGTTGTAATTAGGGCTGTCTTGCAACGCTACAATTGGCCGGAGTGGAACTTTAGTCTTCTGGATTTTGCGCTATCCGTAGAACCGGGCCAGTGCAGTGGCGGTTGGTTTCGTTTGTTGCTATTTATCTTGCGATATCACACTGGTGCGTCAAAGTCGGTTCAGAAGTCCGGTAGGCTGGCTGATCATCAACTTAGCTTGTGAAAAAGGCGTGGATTTGTAGGATTGTTGGTCGTCGAGGAGGGCTTGCGCTTTCGCGTTGTAATCGCTGCGTTCCATCGCGACTGCTGCTCTTCCTTTGTTGGCCAGCAACATTTTTAATTTCTTCATCGCTTCTTCTTCCGCGAGTGCCATATTATTGCTGACTTTCTGGCGCACTGTGTACTTTGCCTCGTCGGTTGCATGTGTTCTTACTAGCACGGCCTTCAGTGCAGCCATAAATTAAGCTGCTTAGCATCTGCTGTGTGCGGTTGATTAAGGTTTAGGAATACAAATAGGGTAGGTCTTTCTTGTGAGGCCATCTAATGGAAATAGGCTTTTTTATTAGACAATAGGCCGCCTAGTGTTCAAAGGGGTTGCTATAATAGTTTTCTTGGTCTATATATTCCCTCTATTAAACCAAAAGGGCTGTAAATTAAAGATGTATTGGACTGAAAGGAACAGGGCAATACACAACTTTCTATACTTTCGTCCCACTAAGTCAGAAAAACGCCTACAATTGACCATCGGTAAAGTGAATATCTACTCGTCCACGTGAATTCTTGACTTTAACGTATCCAAGTTTCTGGTCTTACACGTAAGCCTCGGTGGAAAAGTGTAGCAAAAACATTGCTATTTTATAAATAATGCCGCATTAAAAGAGGTTGATACACAGAAAGAGCTGGGCATGTGGATGACCACGAACTTGATGCCAACAGAGCACCGTAAAAATGCAGTCCAGAAGGCCACTGGTACGCTGCACTGGATCAGACAAGCGTTCAAGTTATTCGCACCTGAACTCTTCGGAAAAATATTTGGTGCCTTTGTGACACCAGATCTCGACTATCAAACACCAGTGTGGACACCATGGTTGAAAAAAGATGTAAACCTTCTCGAACAAGTGCAACGGAGGGCGGCAAAGATGGTTGATGGTCTCAGGGAGTTACTATATCAGGAGAGATTGATCAAACTTGAACTATTTTCGTTGTCTTGCAACTGCTTACAGTGAAGCCTGCTCTGGACATTTTGGGTAATCCGGGGCACGGTTCCTCCCTGAAATTGGAGTATTTCTTCGAGTTATCCAACACAACTCACTTTCGTGGCCATCCTTACGAGGTCACAAAAGAAATCACTCGATAAGACCTCAGAAAGTCTTTCTTCAGCCAACGAGGGATACAACCTTGGAACCCACTATCAAGCGAGACGGTTTCCACTGACAACGTTGTTGATTTAAAAAAAGACTTGATAGCATTTTATTTGACAAAAGGTGGCTATCACGACATTATTTGTTATTGCCAGCATTGTGAATCATTTTCCTGACTCTAATCTGTGTACATACAGTTTTGCACTGTTCCGCGACAACTGACTAAAGTGTGTCATGTTACCACATCTTAGCACAACTTCAAATTGACTGTAACAATGACATGGTTACTTTGTATTAATGGGGTCCTCAAGGATATTCCTGGCCTGTAAACTTTCAAATATGCATATACGTCCTCGGAGACACTGACGAACGAACTCGAGCTCATTAAAAACACTGTAATTAAATGAATTTCTCTAAAAGTTTATCAATAAATTTATGGAGGAACGTTCACCAAACTCGGAAATGCCGACGGCTGAGGAGAAAGCCTCATTTCCTACATTGCCTTTTCGAGGGGATCCAGCAAGCGAAATTCTCCAGCTTAACTTAAACGCTGCGATCGCGCGCACGTATTCAGCATCTATGAAGGCAAGAACACACTACCGTTCCAGACCTTTTCAATGTGCATCTACGCCTTTACTTGCTCCTGTGAGGCAGGTTATATTTATTAAACAACTGGGCGATTATCCAAGCGCATACGAGAACACCACCCCTGGGGCATGGTGAAGATAATATCTAGTCCAATTTTGGCTCAATAAGTTAAGAACAGTCATCATGTAGGCGTCATGTACAAAGTGCTGGCGAAACCTTCGAACTTCCTGCGTCAGCGGATACTTGCGACGGCATAGGCTGGGGCCATACGGCCAATAAACCCAAATTGTATGCAAGTAGAAGGTAGCTCTTACAGGCACTTAGGATCCCCTTGCCGAAGAACAAGTCAACCTGATTCCACAGGTTTCCTGCCACACCGCAAATGGGCGAAGAGACAACAACAACATGCATCCCCATGTCACCCAGGCCGTCGCGAAACCGCAGCACGTACAAGCGGCGCACTCGATATCTCTAACATGATTTTGAGTTGCCGTCAGCATTTACACATATTTGTGGCCACAAAATACAAAACCTTATATGTTAGAGCTCCCAGTGGGAATTTTGTGAATTCCCCGGTTTAAAATGACAAGCCATTTCCTAAACTACATCGGTGCAGCAAATACACTCCTAACTTTACTAAAATTCTTGATTAGCTTTTCATGTAACGAAAATATGAATGCTCGTCCATAAAAGAATAACCAGAGCGTATCGGACACTAGCTCAGCCACTGCCATTCCGAAATATCTTGGGCCCCACTTGGGTTAAACAGCCAGTGATCGTGCAGCATCAATGACCAATGGAAAACATTGCAGTTTGGACGACCCTATAAGATTTTCTGCCGCGGCTAGGTCAGTTATACGTTCCCCAACAGGCGTGCCTCATTCACGAAATTACTTCTAGTTATGGACGCAAGGTAGGGAGTATTCTTTCGCATATACTGTATTGTCAGAATCCAAAGGATAAAGGATGCCATTGATAATTATCCGGATTTTCCGAAGATGGGGATCCAGTTCAAGTAAACAGAATTTGTTTTTCCCAACGTCACGTTCAGAGACATTTTCGGAATTTTTAGGAATCCTGCGTTGGTTCAGGAGTCCATAGATGTGCTCGCCGAATTAGTTGCCAAACATTACACGAAAAATAAGGTAAGTGTTCAACGGTTCATGGTGATGAAGAAATTAGCCGCTGGATGCTATCGTTGCTATGGATGCTCGAGGGTTTCTCCTTGGACCTATGCTGGCCGTTAAGCTGAATTGCGCTTTTATCCCTATTAGAAAGGCAAAAAAACTTCCTGGTGAATGCTACTCCGAGGAGTACGAACTGGAATACGGGAAGGTTAGTACGTGTACTGTGTTCACAGGATCGTCGCGATCCTTTTTATGGGTTTGCAATTTAAATTTTGGAGTCGGCATGCCTTAGACAGTATTTGCAACTGTTGATCAATTAATGTCCAATTTTATTGGTCGGTTCTTGGCCACGCTCTGACTGTATCTACTGTTCTTTCAACTTGCCCTCTTTTTCCCTTACTAATGATCGGATGTCGGCAGAATATTAACCCTGCAAATTCATATCCTCTAGGAAAACATTTTAAAAATGCAGTAATGCTAACGCATGCTTTGGAGAACAGGACTTCCTTACGGGCGTGAATGAACTGCAGTCCATTCTCAACTCTCTTCAGATGTCTAGAAACTTATTTAACTTTATCCTAAGCCGTATATCGTGCCAGTCTCCTTTCGGATAATGTCATTTCATGTCACTAAAAAGATAATGGATGGCACCTCAATTGAATTCAAAATGGTTAGAAGCCACCACTACTACAGTACAGGTGGAAAGACTACATTCCAACTCACACTGCGTTTTTGTCGATCGTGCGTTAATGATGAGTTCATTGTCGAGTTGCCATTGCAGTGCGCAAAGATCGTGTCTGAGGTAATTGCGAATGTGCATTAATGATCATAAACACTGATATATTCCGGTTATTAGAATTCAAATTATGGATTTGACTGTTCCTGGAGCCTGTTGAAGCTGCTGATACGTAAATACGTCTAATCTATTCTGTCGTCCATTCAGATACACAATTTTTATGTTCCTGGTTAAATACTATTCATCCGTTTTTTATTGATCCACGTTGTGGGTTTTCATATTTTTCTAACTTATCCTCTAGTAGTTACGTGGCCTCTTTATGCTATTTTATTAACGTGGAAAATTACGTTACCCTAGATAACGTCATTGTATGCGACAGCCGTTACCGACACTTTCCATCGTGTGCCTCAGAACAAAGTGGACACAGGGACGGTAGAGTTGCACATTTAAAGGGACTTAAATATTCCGATAATCGAACCTAAAAGAGAGCTGTTTTTGATTTTTGGATTGATTGGGCAAGCCAATATGAAATTCCCATTTACAAGGATACGAGGCGTATTCTATGTCCTGCACTCAGATTGTAATTGTTTGTGCATATGCCTGTACGAATTTTCTTCCGCGGTTTTAAAGCAACAGTAGTAGTTGGCTGGGGCCTGTCGGGTTTTGGTAGTTTCGTGTGCTTCTAAATGGAGAAAGTCCAAAATACTCCCTCTAACAAATCACTAACGCCAACTCATTCTAACCATTAGCGTTGGGTGAATGGTTATCAACGAGTATCAATTCTTATTCCGCTAATTTTTGACGTTGTTACTGATTTCTCGGCTTTTCAAACTGACACTTTCTCTTACCTTCACCCCCCCAGGCAATTTTGGAACTTCAAAAATCTGCCCTATCTCCAGGAGCTCGTGTGCTCGTACTTGATGACCTCATTGCCATTGGCGGCACTCTCGCAGCTGCCTGCAAACTTGTGCGAAAGGCTTCCGCAGAACCGGTTGGTTGTGTTGTTCTCCTCGAACTTGCTGATCTCAATGGTCGAGAGAAGTTAGAGGAACTAGGTGTATCCGTCCAGTCGTTGATCACCCTTTAATCACGTCAATCATCAGGATCCAAGTGGCCTTTCTCTAGTCTCCTTCCAAAAGCTAAGAGCATGGTTGCCTTTGGAGTTCCTAACTTTTATCAATTTATCCCTACCTCTCCAATCCACGAATTGAAAAACCTTGCATTATTAATCGTGCTTTTTCCACCTCCTCATATCTTAACCTCTGAGCAGTTTGGCCTCCATAACACCAAAAATCGAGAGAAGACTACGTAAAATGAATTGTTTCCATGTCTTCCGTGCATAATGGTTTGTTGTTTGGCTATTTTGCAAATCATGCAGTTTTTTTATTTTGACCTGCATAGATGAACGTATTTATAGAATTTTATGTAACCCTCTTTATATATTCCATTGTCACTTAATTGTAATGAACTTTGAAGGTCTTCCTTATATTATCCTAGGATTGATTCCGACTGCACTCTCGCTGATAAACGATTCTGGGAGTTCAGGAGTAAGCCTGCTCGTGCTTTCTACCGCGGGCTATTCTAAGTTACTATAGTCAGTACTCCTTACTGCGCCTATCACTAGTCACTATACAAATACTACTTATGAGACTCCAGACCGGACGGCACGAGCACAACCTTTAATCTGATTAGTACGACTTTGTAGTTGTTCGGTATCGCTTCACTTGACTCATCAAAAAAGGGAAAATGAGATCTTCACACTTGGTTAAGAGCGTTTCTTTATAAGCATGCCTGTGCTACAACTGATCCCGTTCTGAAAAGTTTCAGTCTTCCTCCACTTAAGTATTTAATTCGGCTACGGCGGTTCTAATAATCAAGGGAAAGAGTGCATAACTTTTTGAACCCTTCAAGGCGAGGATTAAGCCCGAACAAAAACAGGGTTGACTGTGATGAAGATTTCTAACTTATTAGTCCTCATCAGCCAGCCCTGCCCCAGGTCTAGACAGCTCTTTTTACTCACCAGTCACACCCTGTCGTTATTTTTCTCTAAATGCATCATGCAAATGCCACTTTGTCTTCGCCCTTCAAATTTGTTCTATTGTTTTCCCGCGGACGTGGATAGCTCTTGGTTGAATTTTGGCATGAGTATCAGGACCGGACATCCAAGTCCCTGCTCGACGTCTCCGTTCACTAGTTTCAGACGCACCAACATCCTACAGGCTAGTTCATTGCTAACATTTTAGTTGGAATTAAAGTTGGAGACAAAGTGCTCAATTAGTTTGGGCTTTCTGTTTCCATTGGTCAACTTGATCACTTGGCCCAACTGCCATACGCTCATCTCTGAGAGACTGTTTTGGGGCCTCAATGCAGCAGTTACCTCTCATGTGTGCACCAATGGTAGCTGAGGAAAAAAATCTATGAAGAATGACTGGCCGGCAGTGTTTACTCGAATAGTTACAAAAAGGACATAGTCGAAGTGTCCATAACCCGTCAGAGATAATGGAGCATTCGAATTTCACTCTTCAGGGGCCTATCCTGCAAATAATAAGCTGGTTGGGAGGCGTTTTCAGAAGATTCGAATAATTTATTTGGCATACTTTTGAAAAACAATAGTTTTTGTGGGATTCTACCTCACGACAAAAAAGGCAGGGTTTGAGTAAGGCCAACGCTCTTATTACCTAAGCTATGATGTCCCAGCGTGATCTGTTTTTTTAATTACGTTTGAGTCAAGTTACCTATTCAGTCTACTACAAAGTAGAGACTCTACTCTTTCTGATACATTTATCTTACTTCCTAAGCCTTTAATCTAGCACCCACCAGGTGACTGCTATTTTCACCTAATTAGTAGGTGTTTTGTAGAGTTAAATAATTTATTCGGATAACTTGTACAATTGTCCCGATCGGCTTCCATGCGATTTAGCAGGGATGTGGCTCGAGTTTCATTTTTATAGTAGTATTTAAGTAAATTTTTATATGCATCGAGCCTGGCTTTCCGACTGACGTACTGCTAATTCTAGGGCGTCTTGAAAGTCTCAAAGGTAGCGTGTGTCCGATTTATTGGTGTGGCGATTTCGTGTTTTACTTCGCTCAAGGTAATACAGACTGTGCACTGGCCGTCTGCTTAAGTAATTTGTTCAAACCTTAAGCACGATACAGAATATAGGTTGATATTTTTAATGAGATAGGGACTCAACTGTAAGTGAAATTGTGGAAAAAAGCCTAACAGGTAATATTACGTTGTTTGAAAATGACGATTTTCTTAAAAGGCAGGAATTTCAAAAGTATAAAATTCCTTGCCACGTGAATAGCAGAGTGCTACGAATGGTGGAAAGGCTGCAAACTTTGATTATGGCGATGATTTTGTGGTCAGATCGTCAACTTTCAAATTTAACCCAACCTAGTTACTAGAAGCGAAGCCGATCGCTGGGCCGAATTGACAGGCAAAATGGCCATCGGTTGTGGGTAGCCATAGTTGATTTAAAGAATGCGCCGAAGCGATTGCTACGTTAACATGCAGCAAAGATTCTTGCTTGGTCTAATGTCAGCCATGTTTGAGTCACCTGAGAAAGGCAATAGTGGAGCCCCTGCATCGATGACGATAGGATATGTGGTCCCACTAAGGAGACGGTAAGCAAAGACTCCTATAATACGGAAATGATGGTTACGGGCGTTTTATGGGTGGGATTAACGAAACGGCCAATAACTGTCTCCTGGACACATCACTTAAATTTAAATTCACACGATTAACCTTGTTTCGTCTCTTGACTTCTCCAACTGTATCCAGCAGCCACGCGTACGTCAAAACCAGTGATAACAACTATCAAGGTGGTACGGTATTATTAAACACAAATAGTAAAGGATAACCAGAGTACAAACCTCAACAATGGATACTCCAAGTTAAGAACGAAGGGAGCCGGCCAAATCGTCGGACGCTATACAAAGGAATAATGTAAGTTCAACTAGTCTTGGGAGAGCTTGTGTGTGTTAGTGGGAGAGGGAGCGCGGCTCTGGTTTTATATGATTT